TTAGTTTTCTTTTGTCCATGTAGACTGGTCGAGTCATCTGTCAAGTTGGATGTACCAAGGTCAGTCATTGTRGAAGTTCTAAGTGATGCTCAGGACATAATAACAAGATATCTTACTAGCGATACTTGTCGATGGAGAATGAAGGTTAATATTGGTGATATGAAGACCATGCTTTGCTTAGTAAAGGGTGTACTGGGAACCAAACCTGTTTGTCGGTTATCTGAAAAAGAGCAAGATTTTCTATCTACTGTCTTAATAAAGGTAATGATAATAATAATGAAGATTTATATACTGTTGTAGCAAAAGTATCCACAAGTTCATATGCTTTACAAAATGTGAAGATTCCAAGTTACAATATAAAACTCGTTAAAAAGTAACAATTTATTATATTAATAGCAATAAAGTGCTTAATATACTGTATGTAGCTGTTGCTCTTTGCTTGAATGAATGCAACCTGAGAAAATGCAGAAAACTAAAAATGTAAAAAAAAACGTTATAAAATAAATTTAAATTTGAAAAAAAAAATAGAAAAAATAAAAAAATAAATAAAAAATTTACCTCCACTTTTTTGATGTATAACCGCTGGTGCGGGCTCAGAAAACTCAGGGGGTACCCTTAGTAGTTATGTACATGTATGTTTATCCATGTCCAGCYAAACCAAACCTGGGTGTTGTGAACATAACATCACTTTTGGTTTGTAGCCAGCAATCCTTCATTTTGCTTTTTGGGATTCCTTTGGTATATTCTTGGCTCAGCTGGGGCCTTGGGCGAGGGGATATAATCACATAAATCCCTGCTGTCTTGTCAGAAAACAGGTAGCCCAAAGGTACAAAAGGGTAAAAAGCTAGAGAGATGCTTGTGTGAAGGAGACAAGTTAGGCAGTATTGTAAGAGCAAATATTGCCATTAAATAGAATTTCCYCAAGTCCCTGTCCCTGTTTATTCACTTAACAAAGTTTTGTGGGATAAATTACCTAACGTACATGAACATGCATTACTCAAAAGAGTAATTACTAACAGCAAAGAGGCAAAAGGGAATGTCTTACTGTCAGATTCATCAGCTGTCTGGAATATATTATAATATTTTTCTGGGAATTTTGTTCTTGCTTTTAAGCAAAAAAAAGAAGTAAATAGTGAAAAAAAAGTAAATAAAAAAAAAGTAAAATATAAGTAAAAAAGTAAATGAAAAAAAGGAAAAAAAGTAAATAGTGAGAGAGACTTGGAGCAAGCCTAGCTATAACCAGTCTGTCAAAGTACATCCTGGGAAACCCAGGGAGTATGACATCTCGTCAGGGAAGATTGGGGCAGACAGAAAGTAGTATCCATTGAAGGAGGTCAATGCAATGTGATCTTATTATAATTAGTTTCCAGGTTTCTTGTTTTTCACTCTTTTTTGTTCCCAGTTTCCCACCCTCCTTTTCCTAAAAAAATGACATTCTCGTATCCAGACCCTACTCTTACGGCCTTTAGCCGCTAAAGGCCGTAAGAGTAGGGTCTGGGTACAAGAATGAAAAAATGAAATCATTTTGCCTAAAGTGTATTACTGATAAAAGGTTTCATGGCTATAGTTTTATTAATATTTATATCATCATTGTCACAATTTCAGGCTTTTCTKCAGTCAGTGCCATCCCCTCATGACTCATACCGTACACAATCTTTGAAGCCAATTCAGTTTCTTACTTGCGAAGGACGTCCTGTCTCTCATACAAAGATCATCAATGGTGTCCTAATTGAAGCCCCAGAACTGCCAACATACAATCTTAACACTGCAGTGAGAAATCTTAAGGTGGCTCTCTACAATGTTTCCATGGCAGGAGATAC